AATAGGGATGGCCTCCAATCGGGATGTCGAGTGATCTTTGGAGTTGCAGCAACCTTTCGATACTTGAACCTCTACCCCGATGCGGGCACCGCAGGAGCAACTGGCACAGCGAGAGGCTGGCCCTGCCCAGCATGACAACTCAACAGAGGATCAATGAAGGTCACTATGGACCTACAAAACGATGCAGTTGCATGCAGACATTGGATTCCGATCAAATTGGGTTAAACCACCTATAACTGATACCCCGAAAACTGCAAGTTAGACTGTCGCATCTGGCATTGTTTGTTCCAGGTTGAGTTTGGTTGGGAGTTCACCCAGACTGCATTTGACCCCTCCCCTTTCAGGGCATCCAACTGGATGGCATGCTGGGACAGCTGCCTCTTTATCAGGCCTCTTTTCGCTGTTCAAACAGCCCGTAACGCCCGTAACGCGGCGGAAAGGGCGGACCGTTTTCCTTTTTATTTTTTCTCCCGGTCCGAGAAAACCCATGGGAAGCGAACGTCATGTCAGGACTTTGCTGTGGAAGTGGACCCCGAGGCGCGGTTTTGGTCTTGCTGATGGAAGGAACTCTTCGAAGCCTAAACGGGTCTCGTTTGACATTCTATTGTTTAAACCATTTTGGGCTGCCACAAGGCTACAGGAAGGCTTACGTAAGCGAACGACCTTCTTGTTGTTCATGGACCTTTTTGGAAGAAGCACCTCCCTTGGACTGCCTCCGATGCCCTCGATTGGAAGGCCAAGCGGCTGACCTTGCGGATGCCCAAAGAGGCGTCCGCGGCTGCGAAGGAGGCCTCCTTCACTTTGACAGGAGGGTATAAAGGGTACCTAAGTAGCCGGAAAGCTAAGTAAGCTAAGTACCTCAGATTGCTCGGAAAACACGAGATGAGTAGCAAGAATGCTAGGCTATACTTAGTTTGGGTTCGACAAGGACGCTTCTTAGTGCAGATCATTCCTTGAAGACCCCTATAGTTGTATCAGTTGGGGGTGTCCTATTACCTGCAACAGTCATTGAACAATTATTCACTATTTTTGAACAAGCCTTCAGAGCCCTCTCAGGCTGGCATGAGGCGTTTGCCCGGCATGGACTTGCCCAGTCGGCTGATGGGGGTCAGGCAACTTAGTTGAGGAATGATGCTGCAAAGCCCAGCCGAAACGCTTTGAACTGAAAGAATGAGAGACAGTTGAAGATGGGAAGACCAACGGGGACTGGGAATTCTTGGGCGAACATGGTGTTTAGGTTATGGTGGACTGCGCTGAATGATACTTGAGCTGCTCGGGTTTGAGGTGAACGTTTTCCATGCAGCACTGACAGAAGGCAGGGATTCAGCACAATGGGAACTCCACCTGAAACGGGGGACTTGTAAAGAAGCGTCTTTGGTCCTTGCCGGACACCAGCTATCTCCACTGTGTACATCCCCAGGTGCGCCTGGGGATGCGGTGCCAGCACTGGTCGACAGCGGCTCGGCGAACTCGGCCCGCTGCCCAGCGTCGACTGGTGCGGCCGCCGGGGGGGGCAGTTCGGCGCCAGGTGGTCAACTGGGCGGCGGCCGAAGTGCTCTTTGGCCTTCGTCAAGGCGATCGGATCATCCGTGGGGAGCCCCAACATCTATTTTTTTGAGCTGGATCTTTCTTCCTCAATGCACACGTTTTCTTCATGGCTGTAGGAGTATCTCGTGATTGAAACCTTTTTCCCCTCGAAAGACATGCCCCTTGTGTTATCTTCTGAGGTCAAGCGCCACGGATTCGTGCGATTGGAGTTTCTCGGCCGTGGTGTGAAGTGTTTCTGAATAGGTCGTCAAGTGAGAACATACCAGCGCCATGGTGGGTTGGACTGATCCAACGTTAAAGCCTTTTCATTTTTGACACGCTTTTGGTGAAACAAAAGCTGAACAGATGGAGAGATTCGGCTGAAGGTTGGTGGAGGATTCATTGATATGCCTTTGCTTCGCTTCTCGCTTGGACTGGTTGGGGAAGGCTCACAGTGGGAGAAATAGCAACAGCAAAAGAACGTCACCTTTGAAGACATTTCTCCCACTATATCAACAGCATGTCCACAGAAATATCATGAAATATCACTGATTAGAGCACCATCGGCCTTTGAACAGGTGATATGCTGGTGCCTCACCCCGTGAGAGTGGCCATCGGTGATGCACAGGTTCCTTCTCCCCTGGTTTGGAGATTTTTGCAGCAAAGTGATCCACCGAACCGAAAGAAGCCTATTATATGCTTTGTCTATCAAAGAGGTAGATGCAATAGATCGACCGCCATTTTTTGCTGAGCAATTTTTTCTCGAATCGTCTTCATTCTTCGCAACCTTAGTAGCAAGGAACGCTACTAGGGGCTCCTGGCATCGCTACTAGGAGCAAGGACGCTACGAGCGGGACTCCTGGCCGTACTACTAGTCACAAGAGCATAAGTACTTCCACATTTTCGTCTTTGAGCATTCCCGGGCCGAAGAGGTGCATCGCTTGTGGGGGGCTTTTGCGACAGGTCTTCGGAGAGATCTTTGGCCGAGAAGAGAGAGGCACCGGCGGATCGGGGCCGATCGCCGGGTTTGAGCAAGCGCTGCAGCGAAGGCTCTGAGTGTGCCTGACCTAGGCGGATGGTTTGGCATGGGCCCCAAGCCCTTGAAGCCGGCAGCATTGATCGGGCAGGAGCACGGCAGCACGGAGTTGGGTTTCGTAGCATGTCATGATTGTCATGCGTGTCATGGCAACCGCTTGGGGGCTTGTCCTGTGTTTCTTCCATTGCCCCTTGGGCTTGGAAGCAGCTTCCTTCACCAGGACATCTTGTCTCAGCAAAGACACATCTTCTGTGCCTCAGAGCCTGCGCTCTATGCGGCACCGGGCACAGAGGTGTCAGGCTGGAGGGATTGGTGGACACTCTGGAAGGGCTTCCACTCTCACTCTCTCACTCTCTCTCTCTCTCTCTTTCTCTCAGCTTGGAATTGTAAGAGGCTTTGAAGAACAGCAGAGTTATGATGAACTCTATTTGTTGATCAGGTTCCTTTCCACGCTTCTTGGGCCTCTCCTGCCGGTCCGCCCAAAACTGTCCGCCCAAACCTGCCGTCGCCCAGGGTCCTTTCGCCACATGGGTGAAGGTGACTGTGTCGACCCCGAAGGGCGCCGGCTTGCAGGCTTGCAAAAGCTAGGACGATGCTCCGAAGAGAGCGGGAGAGCGGTGGGGGTTGGAGTGTTTGGAGTGGTGCGATGGAGTGTTGGATTTTCTGGAAGAAGAAGTGAGGCCGAAACTTGCGGCTCGGAGATCGGCACCACGAACTTTTAATACTGTTGACTTCGTCACAGCAAAACGCTGAGCAAGTTCCGCCGAGCTTTCCCTGAATGGATTGAGTGGATTGAGCGTCAAATCCATGATGTCGATCGAATCCATGCAGGATGCACTACCGATGATGCGGCATGGGAGTGCTTGTCCTTGCCTCCAGGCTGAGCTGTGCTGGGGACTGGCTAGTAGGTTGGAGGCCTTAGAAACAAAGAAAAAGGAAAATAAAGAAAGGTCCAATATAGTTTGCTAGTAGGTTGGAGGGACTCCAGGGAATGTTTCAGGGACTCCTCCAGGGACTCCCAAAAACGGTCACCAGGCAGCTGTGGCGGCATTGCTGTGACTCCACAAGGCACCTATCAGGCCCTGGGTTGAACCTGGTAACGGTGAAGTTGTCAGGAAGAGATCTTGCATGCCTGTCCACTTGAGCAGAAACTCACATAAAAACACCCGCATCCAACACCTTTAAGAAGATCAGCGACCTGAGTTCTCCGCGGCTCAGGGGTTGTGCTACATTTTTGTCAGTGAGGATCTTGGCCGAGATGAGGAGTCTCCAGTCTCGCTGCGACATCGTCGTGTCGTGTGGTCGCACAAAAACGACATGGAGCCTCGACATGGGACGTTGTCGGCATCTCTACCCCAATTGACCCCTGTTTCGATAGGAAGTTGGGCCAACAAAAATTGGGTGGTTGGTGGTCCAAAATAGAGGTCATGACCAGGTTCGAACCGGACTTAGACTTTCTTTTGTCGTTCGTCCTTGCGTCCTTCTTCGCTTGGTCGACGCTGTCGGTTCTCCTGTCCGCATCACCCGGACGTGTCGCAGGAGCTCCAGGCGCGCGGATTCTTTCGCTACGAGGCGCCCCAAGGGCAAGAGCTGGCGCCGCCAGGAGAACGCCGCAGTGAGCTGATTTCGAGCGACAGCTGAAAGCACTTAAAGAATCGGCTTAAGGATCAGCCAAGAATCCTTCATCTGAGACACCCCCAATTCTTCCTCAGAGCGACAGAAGATGGAAAAAGAGCTTACAGAATCGGCTTCACTTGGCTTCAGTCCCAGAGTCCCAGAATGCCGTTGGGTCTGATGTGTCGAAAGTGGATCAGCACAGCTCGACCCAGCCCGACCCGGAGCCGGAGCGTCGCTCGGCAGGATCCACGGTGGCCAGAGCTGACGGAACGAAAGATGCACAATGCTTCAAGTGGGAAGATGCAGAAGTGCCTGGCAATTAGCGGGCCTGACATGGTTGTGGGGCTGTTGATACGCTTCTTTCTACTCTACTCTACTCTACTCGTTTGCAAGGCCTTTGTACTCCAAAAAGGGCCTAAAAGGGGTGATCCTTTTTCAGGTCTTGAGAATTGGAACATCATTTGTAGCACTTGGATCGAGCAGAGGACCTGGGTCTTGGTTGGTTGGTTGGTGCGCTGCCGAGGCCGTGCCGCTGCCGAATCCGCGGAATTCGGCCTAGAGAGGGTGATTCATACGGCCGAAATGGCGCCTTGCTTGCTGAATCACGTGCACAGATTGATAGTTAGATAGCTTTACACTGTACATACAACGAGACTCTTGAAGATCTCGCAGGTGGTGCTTGCCTAATTTGAGCCAGCAGCTCTTGCTCAGCTCTTGCTTTGGTCAAAAAGGATCTTGAAGTGGTGTTTTTTTGTTTTTCATCATCACTCCACGAGTTGGTTTTGAAAGCACGACAAACATGCGCTCGCTCCTGTTGCAGGCAGAAAGAGAGAAGGAGAGGGCCCATGTACAGGATGCACGTTTGAATGTCGAGGTCAGGGCTGCTCGAGAGCGCCTTGGGACTTTTATATGTTCAACCTACTAGCGATGGCCTCCAACCTACTAGCGATGAACAAGGAAACAGAATTGGCCCAAGAATCTTGCCCATCACAAAGCAGTCCGTTGTCCAGTCATGTTCTGGCAAGTCCAGATCCAAGCGAATGAAAACGGCTAAGCTGCTAAACGGCATCCAGGTGGCGACAGGCCAGCTCTTGGAGGGCTATGTTTGGGCCCTAGACCATGTCAGCGGCCACGTTTGATAATTTGTGGAGAGATCGTTGAGACACACACTCACACACACATACACACACACACTCTCTCTCTCTCTCTCGTGCACACTGTAGTGGAACTGGAGCATTTGGTGTGTAAGAAGGCTGTGCAGTGTAACATGCAGAACAATTTGTGTTGATGAGGCCTCTCGACTAGACTAGTTGTGCTTGTTTTTGGCCTCTGGTCTGTCCTCATGAGGATACAAAGCTTTTCCAGCTGGAGGCAGATCGAAGTGACCTGAGTGAGAAGGCGCAGGGAGCCTTGCACTGAGCTTTGCAACCGTTGGATGGTTTGGGGGCCGTTTGGGTTGAAGACACATCATAGCTGACAAAAACCCTTAACAGCCTATTCTGACCGGTAGGTCTATCAGCTGGAGATGGAGATCAAGAATCTTCATGCAGGTCACCTCGAGGAGAGAGTTGTTGCGACCTCTCGTGCTTCAAAAGACTTGGCAAGAGAGCACATTATTTTTTGTTTGGACCTCTCACGATGTTTCATAACACTTCATCAGATTCTTGGGACTGCTTGAAAAAAGGAACATGATTTGAGGATATTCAAGCTCACCGCAGCTGGCATGTGGAGTGCCTCAACCACATGCTCGAAGTGACCTCTGGTTGTCCGCAGCCCAGTCCACGTGAGTGAGTACACTTGACACGGGATCTGTAGGAGCGATCGGACGCTACAAGGGACTCCTGGCCTTACTACTAGGAGCGATCGGACACTACGAACGGGTGAGTCTTTAAAAGTTGAGTGAAGACGAGACCGTGCTTAATCTGGAACAGGATCCACCCGTGGAAACACGCAGACGTGCTTTGGTTGGCAAACCTGGTAGACCTTTGAACCAGGCAACTTTCTGGCCTGCGTGAGCTTTCGAGCCTGGAGGAATCTGCTTCAGCAGAAGGACTGAGCAAGTTTTCCAGATGTGGAAGGGAGGAATCCTGAATGAACACCCTAGATTTGGTGTCTTTTCCTAGGATGCCTGGGTGGTGAAAACGCAAATACTTGGCGCCTCACATCCATCATACCACCCTCACAGAGGCTGTCTTTTGTGTTCTAAAGACAGACTGGTGCAAGGAGCACAGCATTTCCACACCCCAGAAGTGCCCCACTTCTCTCCACCTTTCCTTGATGAAGCACTCACATTCCATGGCTTGTGCCCTGCAGGCTGCTGCATGCCAACGCCGCTCCCTGTGCCACCGTACAGCTCTGGCCTTTTGTGAGACCAGCCGGATGCGGCTGAAGCGTCGCCCGGCAACGACGCTGGACGCTGGAACTCCCGACCAAACACGGATGGAAAGCGCATCAGCGTCACCCCAAAAGCCACCCAAACCTGGAGGGTGGGGGGAGGCCCGATCGTATCACTTTCCCACGTCATGGAGGGCTTTTCTTTCCAAACTCTTTCCAAGCACCTCTTCTTCAGGTGCCTTTTGGCGCGCCTGGTGCAGCGCCTGGGAGCAAGTGCAGCAGCAGCGCCGCAGCCAGCAGGTCTTATTGCGGGCGATGACTTCTTGGGATCGGCAAGCGCCGGAGGTGCTGAGGCGGAGGGGAGGTGGAGCGGAGGTGACACCTGTTGGAGCTGTCCCTTTGGGGGTAGTCAGTGAGGCATTTGAAGGGGGTAGTCAGTGTGAGATGTCACACCGGAGGATCGGAGCCGTGGCCGCTTTGAGCTTTGAATGTGGATCACTCTGAGGCGGAGCAGCTTCCTTGCGTGGAGATTACAAACCTTTAGCCCGACCAAGGCCCGGGGTCTGAGGGTCTCGGATTGGATCAGGTTTCAGGTGCATGGTTCGCTCGTTCGCTCACTGGAGACGTATCTCTGTACCCTATTTTAGGAAGTTTGAAGGGGATTTGCCCCTATCACCAGTCAAAGGCCCCTATCACCAGTCAAAGTTGACGCTAGGCCAAACATTGGTGACGAAAATTGGAGGGCTCATTTTTCCGGAATGGCCTTTGCAAGGCCTTTGCATGGCAGACCATCGAAAAGGCTCGACAACGAGCAGCCACAGCTCCTGAGAAAGAGCTCTTGAGGCGATTGGAGTCATAGCTTTGAAGGTCGTGGTTGTAAGCCTCATATCTATTCCTCAAAGTGGTGTGTTGAAACGGACTTGTTTGATCTTCACACAGCTGGCACGCGCTTTGGAGGCTTGAGGCACTCACATGGACTGGAGTAAACCTACAAGGCATATTTAGAATTTAGAGGAGGCCATTCCTACTGTTGGGTTGGAGGCATCGCTAGTAGGTTGGAGGCCATTACTTTTAAATATCTTTTAGAATGGGAACGACTTGTGACCGGACTGAGAGAGTCATTTCGAGACTTGAACAAAGCAAGCAAGTGTGTCCGTGTGCCTGGAAAAAGCTGCTGCGAGCGGAGTGTCTTGCCATTCTTGCTGTCCTTTTTCAGAGTGTCCTTGTTCTGGAGGAGCTACTGGCATTTGTGGACTGCACGCATGCAAGAGGCTAGGCACGCTTTTGTTTTTGGCCTTTTTGTATCCTGGGTTGGCCTTGGTTGGTTTTGGATCAAGTCCTACCTGGCAGCCACAACGACGTTTGGTTCTGGTGGTCCCTCCACCACCAAGCAGGTCGAAAAAAGAAAGGAACAACAAAAAGGTAAGGTCCTCTTTCTTTCTTATGGGACCCTTTTTATGGCCCCTCATTGAAAGGGGGCCTTGCCTTTCTTTTCTTAAGACCTGCCGAGTCTCTCAGCGCAGTCGCTGGCAGGCAGCGCTGCAGCAGAATGCCGACTTGCGGGAAACGGCGCTGCAACAGCAGTTGGAACGCTGCCAGCACGATGCCTCGGCAGCGCGGGTCGCCCATGAGGAGACGGTTCTGTGGTTCAGTGGGGAAAAATCTCTACTCCAAGTCTTATCGCAGGAAGTTGAGAGGAAACAGCTTTTCGTAGATCTCACGTAAAGTGTGGGATTGTTTTCTATCTTTTTGTGGCATCGGTAGTCAATGGTGTGAAGTTCTTACTCTCGCTGGTCGTGGAGTTCTCTGGGAGTGCGCCATTTCGACGCACCCAACATCCTCGTCGGCGAACATTCGCTGGTAGATCCCGAACTGGGTTCCTTTGACCCACCATCGCCATAATTGTCCACGAAAGGCTCATCATCGTTCACCAGTCCGCCGCGTAGCATGCCTGCGCAGTCCATTTGGACCAGGAGCTTTTAGCTCAACATGTGGCCGAAGCTAGGGAGGAAGCGAAGGCGCAGAACACGCTCACAATGCTGAAGCGTGCCACCAGCCATTCCTTGATTGTTTGACTTTGTATTTTGTTGTAACTCCTCATCCAACTGTGACTTCCACCAACTAACCACCCCCCCTTCCTTTTCAGCGACCTTTTACGTGGTTTTCGGGCATGTTCTGGTTGATCTTGTGGACCCAACGGACCGGTGGCTCTTCGTCCAGACCCACTCGGACCGGTCCCCAGCGCCAGGCCTTGCAGTTGACCTTTCAGGAGAGACCCGGAGAGGTCGAAGAGGTCGACCGAGAGGTCTTGCGAGCGGTCGGTGTGCGGTCGGTGTTGCGGTCCGGCACATGGATCGGTCATCGGATTGGATCGGCGCTTGATTTTCTTCCGCTTCCGCTTCTGAAGAGACGGACAGGCTGCAGGTCATGTCATTCACGTCTCGTCATCCAAAGTTGATTCATGACTGAAAGGAAGTTCTTTCAGTCAAGCATCTCACTCTCACCCGAAAGAGGAGAGATGGCTCCATGACTTCAATAACTTCATGAGTAGCAGTAGGTCAGTAGGATTTGACTTTGCATCGGATTGGATTGGTTCTGACCCAAAAAGCAATCTGATTGTCTGATTGCAGAATGGATCACCGGATCTGTTTTTGACCCGAGCTTCACACCGCTGAGAGAGCAAGCTTCTCAGGAGACCAAGCTGCAGGCCGAAGAGGCTGTAGAGAGAAGAACCTTCTTCCTTTTTCATGTATCATGTACCGTGAGTTTTTTCCCAGATGGCGAGAGCTATTGTGTGTGTGTGTGTTTTTATTTTTTTTAACTTAAACTTCACGTATAATAGTATATATAGGTTTTTGATACTTCCATGTGCACTTTGGAGCCTGGGTGTTGGTGCGGGTGCCGCTGCGGGAGGCGGCGCTGCCCACAATTTATTCTCTTGCTATCTGGGGTCTATGCTGATGTGTGTTTATTTTCTTTTAGCCCTATTGATCTGTTTTCGTAAGCTGAGAAAGTGGACCTTCCTACCTCGTGATAGCCCAACTTGTTGATGTTTAGCAGTGAGCTCTGCTCGACGATTGGTGGCAGAGATCGGCACAGATGCAGAAATGAAGGAATGTATCAGACCACTTTGAGGTCTTTTGGTGATGATTGACATCAGCGGTCACTCACTGCACATTCAGTTCTGAAAGTGTTAGAAACGTCTGAAGGTCTTAAGTTGAACTTGTGCCTTGAGGTTGTGCTAGCTGAGAAGCTGAGAATGTTTCTTCCTTTTGGTTTCTGGCACACTGGTGTTGGCATAGTGTTCTGCCCATGTGCTGCACCCTCGTGTTGTCGTTTCCGAAGCCCTTTCCGAAGCGCCTGCAGTCGGGGCCCATTTCTGCTTCGGAAAGGCTCTTCGGTAAGTCAGATGTGGAACGTCGATGACAGCCCTTCAGAAGCTGTGCTGACTCGATGGCAAGATCTGCTTCTCCCTGCGTAAAGAAGCTGCGTCCAAGAGAAATGGGAATCCTTTGTTGGTTTAAGGATTGGAGTTCACTGGAGAGACGTATAACATGGGGACAAGGTCCAGCTTGTGTGCAGTGGATGGCAGATATCTAGCACTGCCACCAGTGAGGTGTCTGCTTGCTTTCCTCTCTCAAGACTTTCCAGGCGGCCTCCCAGCGTCTGGCAGATGAGAAGCTGGAATCGGCCAAACTGGAGCCGCTGGGCTCCACTGGACCGTTTTCAACCAAATTTCAGGTCTTGGATGGTCTTGGAGGAACACCGCGATCCAACCACCACAACGCCAAAACCGAACACCACGCCGATCCTCCGGTCCGCCGGTCCGTCCCCCGGTCAGGTCCCGGTTGACCGCGGCGGCCGAGCGCGAGAAGGAGCTCCGCGCCGAGGTGGCGCGCCTGGCGGCACGGGCGCCCGGGTGACCGGGGCGGAAACCGTGCTGCCGCCCACGGGACGTGGATTTCCGCTGGAAAGGACATGTGGAGGTTCTGGGAGTGGAGAATAGTGGAGAAAAGAGACACAGATGTGGGTGTCTCTCTCCGATGATTTGAGACGATTGACAGAGTTACCCAATCGCTTCCGACGTCCAAAGCAAGATCCGTCAAGTTTAGAGGCGGGACACGAGGTGTGTTTTCCAGACTGACATGCCAAGGACTTACTCACAGCAGCTGAGTATGATTCCCTGCAAAAAGCCAGTGACTTCACCACCTCGCAGGAGTGCTGAACAGTCTTTTTGGACACCGGGTTTACCGCAGCTGCTCACGAGCGAAAACCTGGCATGTTGGGTTTTGAAATTCGCCGACTTGGGTGGTTGCAGGAGAGATGGGGCAATGAGTTGGAGGAGATGCGGAGGGAATGCGAGGAGGCGGTGAGCCTCCAACTGGACTTGCAGCGGCAGGACGGGTGTACCAAGGCTATAGAACTCAATAATTTTAGAAGAAGAATACACCAATTTTTATAGAAACGATATATATATATATCTGCATGGTACGAGCAGCTTAGTGTTCTTGTAGGTAGCTACAAACTAAGAAGCTTGTTTGCTTCTATGCTTTGATGTCCAGGAAGCCACTGCCGCTGGCCGGTTGGCAAGGGTGACTCAACGTGCGGCCGAGCAGGAGGAGGACCCTTCGTGCATCCAACAGACGTCCGCGGACCGGACGAGGGAAACGCGGACGTGTAGGCTGACGTGTAGGCTAGTAGTCAATATAGTCCTCATTAGGGCTTTCACTTGACCCAAACTAGATGGTGGTATACAGTAACTGCATTGACTTGTAAGTTTACAAAAGCAAGAACCACTTGAACACCATCTCCAAGATGCTCGAAGCTTCGCTACTGGGCGCCATCTTCGCTCCTCAGGAGCTGAGCGAGCTCCGGGTGTCCCTGCAAGCGGAACGGGCCGCGCTGCTGGTCCTGCGCGCCGAGCTGCCAAAGAGCGAAGCACGGGGCAAGAGCTTGCCAGCGATGTCACCCCTGGGGTCCAGTACTTTAGATGAGGCAGGATACAAGAAAAACAAGGACGCACGACCTATTTCTGGCGAAGACCGTAGACCGTCGTCGATCTCATTTTCACCCATTTCCCTGTTTAGCCTGTCGATATATCTAGGTCCATCTTCTCACCGAGTCGATGGCCACAGGTGACCAAGCGATGGCGCTTGGAGCACAGTCATTCGGTGTCTGCCATCTACAAATCTGGCCGCGGAGCCCGAGAAGTGCTTCCCGGGGGTTCAGGGGAGGCTGGAAAACCCGGGGAAAACCGCTTCCATCAAGCACCTGCTCGGGTGCCAACCACGTTCCTTTCTTGTACCCGTTTTTGGAGCATTGATGAACTCATTCCGTCTCCTTTTCCTTGTGCTATTCTCACCGATCTCCTTTGCTCATGTTTGCTCCGAGGTTCTTTGCCAGAATGTCTGCCGGTGTCCGGCAAGCTGAGGGTCTCCGGGCTTTAGCTTCTTCGGCGTGGCGATGCCAAGGTGCAAACGTAGTTAATGACTGCAAAGCATGCTCTTAAGGACTGTGTGGGGCCTTCTTCTGCTTCAAGAAGATGCTTTTCACGACTTCAGATGCTTTTCGCCAGAGCTTTGCTAAACTTGCACGACAAGACATGGTTTGCTTGCATCATGCCCCATGCAGCTTGTCTCGATTCTGCTCGAGCCTACAAACTCTGCTGGCAAGAGCATAAAAGAATCTCGGCCATTGATTGGTTGGATTTTTAATCCCACAATAGGGGAACAAGAACACAGTTTTGATTTCTTTATCCTTTGGCTCAGAAACACACAGCCACAAAGATCAAGATCGTTTGTGGATCAAACAATTTTCATTCCGACCACCCGAAGATTTGCTCCAGCGCTGCGCATGTGTCAATTTGGTTCGAACAGCTGGAATCGATTTGGCTTTTCAAAGGGCAAGAGGAGGCATCATTTCATGTGCCAACTGTTTCCAGCTAAACTAGGAACACATAGATTCTTGAGGACATGAAGCATCCAGGAACTGTTGGGGCACAGGGATGCAATGCTGCGCTTTCCAAGCCCAAATGGAAGGCGTTTTGCATGTTTAGCTCTTTCTTTCACCCCCTCTGAGCTCTTCTTTGAGAAGCTCCGGATCCATCCGACCATGGCGTTGAATGCCGAATATCGAGGTTGGGCCTAGGAAGGGTTGGGGTGGGTTGTGCATGGCAGCTTTCGTACTTCACAAGCTTTCTTTCGCTGGCAAACGATTTACCGCAACCGGATCTTTCTTCCACTTGCATCGGATCAAGTGTCTGTTCTGTGCAAGGGGTTTGGGAACAGAGATGTTTTTTGGGTCTTTTAAGGAACTTATTTTTGCATCAATCGCCTTGAAGCTAGCTTTTGCACCCTTGCCTTTGCAGGTCTGGTGGCGCACTCCTCCCCTCATGCAGTGACGAGGGCCAGGCGATCGGACTGTGGCCTTTGTTGATACTTCCTTTCTCCAGCGTTACTTCTCTAAGTTCCACAGGTCTTCCCTCCATCAATGACGTTTGCCATGCTCTCTGGTACCAAATGAACCCGTCAGCCAAGCTGGTTGCTGCGGTCAGAAGACCGCTCGTCGATTTGTGACCAGGCCATGGCCTAGCGAGGCCAAGGCTCCTGTTCATGCCAAGCGAGGCTCTTTGGGCTTTGTCATGCGGCTTGCACATGCGATTTTGGGACTCTGAGAGGGTTGAAGTCGAAGAGAGCTGCAAAAGCTACTCGAATTAGCTGCAAAGCTGACAGTCCAGCCTGGTGTTCTTCAGAAAACGGATTCTCACACCCGACTCTGTTGGATAAAACATAATCGGATCATGTTGGGGTGTTGACCGAAGTTTGGATGGCAGGTTTGGCATGGGCCGGCTTTCAGGACATCTGGGCCCCGGTGGTGGTGGGTGCCGCGCTCTTTGGGAAAGGGCATTTCTTTGTCAAGCTCGGTCAGGGGAATTCATATTTTGTGCACAAGAGTGCACGTTCTTTTTTCTTTGATTCTTTGATTCTTTCTTTCTTTCTTTTTCCATCAAGTCGATTACATTTCGATATCTTAAGATATTGAACACACTTCTATTCTATTGTGTCTGTATTCTTGTGTGGGTTGCAGCTTTTCCTTGCCACTCAGCCATTGTGCACGATCCATGCTTGGATTTTTGTTGCGCCAGCAGAGCTCCAAAAAGGCCCTTTCAAGAGCCCCCCACGTGTCCGGTGGAAAAACACCTGATGTTCGTTGCTGTGCTGGTGCAGAGCCCTTCGGTTTTAATTGATTCTTTGTTCTGTTGACCAGACTAAGACATCGACCAGACACCACCTGGTGTCCCACCTCTAGGGAACCCAGGGCTGGGTCCCATCCGCCCAGGGCCTGCTGCCACTTTGCTTCGTGCTACCACGGAGAAGGATGGGAACTGCAGAACTGCTTGCAGCCAGAGCATCCATAGCTGGAAAGGTTCCAGGAGGTGTTTCATAAGATTTTCCAATGAGGATCCGGAGATCGTGCTCCTTTTTTGCTCCTCAAACATTTCATGATGTTTTCCCCCCTCGCCCTAGAGGATGAATCGACGTCTGTGTTGAAGCATCATTCCTCCCGGATCCGCAGGCGGCGGATGTCGCGGTCCTCTTCGTGCTCTCTTCGTGCGCTCCGCACCGGTGGGGGCCCTCCAGATGCTCCGAAGGTGAACCACTCCGCCACCACGCGCCGCGTGGTGCGCGAGAGCCGCGCGAGAGGCGCGTGGTGCGTGTACTCCAGGTCAGCCGCTACCAACCTCCTTGTGGGGTCCCGAGGGCGAGCAGACACGTCAGACAAGAGTGAATTCATTGCTGGTTTCCTCTAAGACTTTAAGCTGAATTCATTCTCGGCCGCACGCGTAGTAAGAGAAAGAATCCAGACACATTGAACGAAGAAGATGCAGAATTGTCCATTCAAACATCCCGCTTTCTATACGCCTGAGGTCAATGGATTGCTTCCCCACCCCAAAGTGGCAGTTCAGAGGCTTCTGCAGCCCCAAAAAACAATTAGATTACCTCAACCACCAGGATTTTTGTGATTTTTCCGTCTCTCGCCCTGCTAGCTGCGGATCGCTTCCACTCGAGGCCTTTGGCTGAGACCGACCCCTGGCGTTTGGCCGTCCCTGCGCCTGGAACTCCAGGGAGTTCAAGAGAAAAGTGTGTCCAGGATCCACCTTGACGGCTCCACTTTGGCTACTCGATTTCAGGTTGATTGCCAGCTTGGTGAGCTTGGCCATTTACCCCTCCGTGTCACTGGCGGTCCGTGCCTTGAAAGAACCCTAGCTTCGACGGTGACAGGCAGCTTGTGAACTGCGTGTCACTCACGTCGCATCTGACGGAAGTCACTGAAGTCACTGAAATGCATCTCTGGTGCTGCTCTGGTGTTGTTGGAAATGGAAAGATCCTGAGCATGAATAGCAATGGCCTCCAACCTAATAGCGATGGCCTCCAACCTAACTGGCGATGACTGGCCGACAGCACTCGTTGGCATACTCTTCAGCTCATACCTCACCCTTTAAACACCGTCCAACTCCAGTGCGGACGACCGGCCGAGGTAGCATCACTGCTGGACGAAGTGGCCTTGGGAGTGATCAAAGGAGATGCCTAGGCCTGAGGGCCTGAGGCCAAAGCTACAAGACCTTTGCCGGCGATGGAGTGAGGGTTGTTTGTGAGCGACTTGCGATGATGCACAAAGGTCCGACCTGGCTTTCTTTTTGTTAAGAGTGAGTGCACTGAGGTCTCGCAGTTTATGCAAAACTTCTTCAACTTCAACACCTTGCTCTTCTCCTTCTTTGTCTCACAGACCTATGCGTCTTTGTACGCGCAGCAGGAGCGTCCTGTCATGTTGGAAGTCCTGACAGCGTCCAAATCAGTGGCAGGAGAGCTTGTACATGGCTTTGTTCTCGGAGATCTCTGAGGACCGCCAAAAGGAGGGCTTTGCTCAAGTGTGTTGTTTTTGGCTTTGTTTCCTGCCTGAGTGTGGCTTTTGGCAAGTGCTGCACTTCTCCAAGCAGCAAAGATCCAAGTTGCTGCACTAGCACAATGCTGAACGCATGGAGAGCAGCTGCACCACCATTCAGCTGGTTTGTCTGCTTTGTGGGAGCTGTTTTTGCTGCTAGATCGATCTCATGATTTGTCCCCTCTGGCAGCAGTTTTCATGCAGCCACACAGGATGT